GATCAGAAAGACACCTTTCAATTTAGTTGGAGGGCAGCACAAATTATTTATTTATTTATTTATTTATTTGATTTGTCAATTGTTTACAAGATAATAAGTACAAGTGTATACATAGTTGTGAATATATGAAATGGGTACATATAAGAAAAATAAAAGAATAAGAGAAACAATAGGACAGGGACGGTAGGCACGTTGGTGCGCTTATGCACGCCCCCTACAGACCTCTTAGGAAAGGGGTGAGGTCAATGGTAGACAGTCTAAGGTTAAAGTTTTTGGGGTTTGGGGAAGAGACTACAGAGTCGGGTAGAGTATTCCAGACATTGACCACTCTATTGCTGAAGTCGTATTTCCTGCAATCAAGTTTGGTGCGGTTTACTTTGAGTTTGTATCTGTTGTGTGCTCTTGTGTTGTTATGGTTAAAGCTGAAGTATTCATTGACAGGTAGGACATTGCAATGTATGATTTTATATACCATGCTTAAGTCGGACCGAAGACGGCGTAATTCGAGGTTTTCTAGTTTTAGAATTTCGAGTCTGGTGGCGTAAGGTATTCTATAACGGGTAGAAGAGTGGAGAACTCTTCTTGTGAAATACTTCTGGACTTTCTCAATTGTGTTAATATCACATACGTGATAAGGATTCCAGACTGATGAACTGTATTCGAGTATTGGTCTAGCAAATGTTTTGTATGCTCTGGTTAGTAGTGTGATATTACCAGAGAAAAAGCTACGTAGGATTAGGTTAACAACTCTTAATGCCTTTTTGGCTATGTAGTTGCAGTGGGCTCTAGCACTTAGATCATTAGAGGTGAGTATTCCAAGGTCCTTTACAGAGCTTGGGTCATCAACAAGATCTTGACTATTCAGCTTGTATTTTATTTTCTGATTTTTTTTACCAATATGTAAGACAGAGCATTTATTTGTTGAGATTTGGAGTTGCCATATGTTAGACCATTCAGATACATAGTCTAGATCTTTTTGAAGGGTAGTAGTATTGTCTGTGGTATTGAACAGCTTTACATCATCAGCGAAGAGAACGCAATTGCTCTTGATATGATCACAAAGGTCGTTTATGTAGATTATGAAGAGAGTTGGTCCTAGAACACTGCCTTGGGGAACACCACTATTGACAGGTACTGGATTTGATAGGGCGTTCCCAATTTTGACCATTTGTTGTCTGTTTGACAGGAATGCTTCTATCCAGTTATTCAGTTGTCCAGAGATACCATAAGATTTTATTTTTAGGAGTAGTTTGTCGTGTACCACTGAATCAAAGGCTTTGCAGAAGTCTATGTAGATTGCGTCTATTGCTTTGCCCTGGTCGAGTTGAGTAGTCCATATGTTTTTGCAGTGTAAGAGTTGCAGATTACAGGATAGTTTTTTTCTGAAACCAAATTGTTTATTGGAGAGTAGGTTGTTTGTCTCTAAATGGAGGATGATGGATTGGTTAATAATTGATTCCATGACTTTACAGGTGACGCAGCATAAGGAGATTGGTCTGTAATTTTCAACTAGGCTTGGGTCTCCCTTTTTGAAGATGGGAATGACTGTGGCTTGTAACCATAGGTTGGGCAAGGAGCTGGTTCTGAAAGATCTTTCAAAGATTATGCTTAGAGGTTTGGCTATGGCAGCGGATAGTTTTCTTAAGAAGTAGGCACATATTCCATCCGGTCCAGTAGATAGAGATGGTTTTAGGTTGCGTAGTGCTTTTTCAACGTTGTCTACTGTAAAATCGATATGTATTAGATCATTATTGTTGTCTGTGGTACGGCTAGGAAACATTGGGCATGATCCATTACTGTTTACAAACACTGAGCCGAAGAATGTGTTAAAGATGTTGGCTTTAATGGTGTCGTCGCTGCAGTCTTTACCATCAGGTCCTATCAA